TTTGAGTTATGGTGTTGGAGGAGAATATTGAAAGTGCCGTGGGCTGCCAAAAGAACCAATAGATCCATTTTGGAAGAAGTGCTGCCAGAGTGCTCCTTGGAGGCCAAGATGGTCAAACTTCGTCTCTCAAACGTTGGACATATTGTCAGGAGGGACCAGTCATTGGAGAAGGATATCATGTTTGTTAAGGTTAGAGAAAAATAATAAGACCCCCACTGAGATGGACTGGCCAAGTGGCAGCATCGATGGACTCAAGTGTGGTAACTGTAGTGAGGTTGGCCCATGATAGGGCAATGTTTCGTTTTTCTGTGCATACAATTGCTATGGGTTGGTACTGACTTGAAGGCACCTAAAAACAACAACAAAGGATTCCTACCTTTCCACAATGAAAATACAGATACATGTGTAAGACAAGAGAGAAGGGAAATTGCACAATAAACACTGACTGTAGGATTCACCACCAGCACCAGATCTTTCACTGGGCTTTGATTATGCCTTCCTCCTTTGCTATAATCTCAGTTTTCTTTGATAGTCTAATTGCAAAGAACCTTGGAAGGTATCCTAAAGTTCCCTTTTGAACTTTCCATTGCTCTCTCAGATGAGGTTAAGAAGTGCACTTCAGATGACAAAGACATGAGACCAGTGTTTTTGTTTTTGTTTTCCTTGATGTAAAGTGTCCTTAGGGATACTTAGAGAAATATTTTAATCCTTTCTCTGAAGCCTCTAATATGTCTTGGCCACTAGACCCTACTCAGAGGCTAGGGAGTTTGTTCAACAAGAAATAATTCTTTGGTATCATTTTGAAAGTTTTTATATTTGTTTTCACTCACCTCCAATTTGCCAGCTTTCTCCTCTCTGTTCACATCATACATCACCACCAGCTCTCCTTCCACTGCAGTCTCAGAGCAGTTCGAGCATTTTCTTTGTTGTGCTATTGTGGGCTTGAAGGAGACATGCACCTGGGAAGAACATTGAAATCAGAGCCAAGTCTGGGCCTCAATCACTCTCCAGGTGAGGGATTGACAGCTGCACCTTTTGGTGCACACAAGTGAAGAGGTGTTGCTCAGTGGACATTCTATCAGCATCAGTAGGCCCATTAGGAAGAGCTAGTGCTTGGACATCTAGAAAACTATCTGCCATCCTGTGGCACTACTTTGCCAGGTTCTCAAACCTCTTTCTTTCTTTTTTTTTTTTAAGAGTCTCAAAGACTTTCCTCCCTCCACTATGGCAGAAATGATTACCAGCACAAGAAAGAATGTGTGAGGGATTCATAAAAGAGCTCTTCCCTTCATAGTTGGTTATTCTTGCCCTTTAAGGCAGAGGGAATTAAGTGGATTCTCTCTTTAAATGTAAATCTACCACAGATTACATAAAAGCTATCTTTGGGCTACTGGTCAAGTGGATGGCATGGGGAAATGAAGCTCCAAAAAGGACATTTATTGGTCACAATGGAAGGAGAGACAATTGGGAATTTTGTTTTTTGTGTCCCATGGAAGACCCTTGACTCTGTTCAAGTATAACTGTTCCTTCAAGATAATGCCCTTAGCTCAAGAATTGACCAATTGTCTCAGAGCTGAGAGTAGACTCCATGAACTACAAGACTGCAACATGCCATGCTCATCACACCTTCTGGCTTCCTTTAGATATGACTGGTACACCATCAAAATGGCCTTCGAATGTATCTGGAACATGAAGAAATCTCAATCCCTGAGGTTCAATAATCCACACATCCACCTAGAGACAGGAAGGAAAATGAAAACATCAAACATCTTTATATGCTTTTTGAGTGGAAAGCACACTTATTAGTGAGACTGCTGATACTTTTCTCATATTCAAGTTTCCTCAAAGATCGCCCAGCATGGTTCCATGATCAATTTTCAGGTTCTTTAAATTCCTTGAGATGTAATTCGTCTGGCCGTGGAGGCTTAAATCTCATGTGGCCACTCAGTACTGCCTTTTTCATTCGCTTACCCCTCTGAGATTTAATTAACTCTTTTTATTCTGTTCTATTCATTTTATTTAGAAGAGTATTCATGTTGTTGGGGTTAGGGGGTGGAGAGAAGAAACAAAGCCATTATTAAATTGTTCTGCATTTACTCTATTGATATGTTAAATCCTGTGCCACTTTATTCTCTATCTAAACTGTTGAAAAACCCTTTGATAATCATTAGCAAAATGATAGTTGTTGTTTAGTGCCACTGAGTTGGTTTGGACTCATAGCTACATTATACGGTTTCTGAGGACTAGCCAATGGGTTTGAATTGCTGACCTTGCAGTTAGTAGTCCAGTGCTTATCCTACAGTGTGACAGCAGGACTCCATTGTAATAGCTGCCATTTTCTGAAAGTACTTCCCATCTAGTAATTCATTTAACCCTTACCTGATTGGTTATTATTTCTGGATTTACAGATGAAGAGGAGAGGTTAAGTGACCTAGCTAGTAAGTAGCAGAACCAGGCTTCAAAACCAAGTCTAGATGACCCTAGTGCTTGGACTCTTATAATACCATGTAGACTGTTTCTTGATTTTTGTAAGCTTATCTTACTCTTTTCAGTTCATTGATTATAATTTCCATATTGTTCCTCAGACCCATGCCACAGTGTTCTATTTATGTTTTCATGAAATTCTCCTCTATTTGGCATTCTACTTTAAAAAATAACAGCCATTAAAACCACCATGGAGCACAGTTATACTGTGACACCCAGGACTGAGCTTGTCAGACAGTGGCCTGTGTATGCAGTGTTTCCCTACATGTTTTTTCTTCACTATGATTATTTTCAACAGAGATTAACAATCTCCCCTCTCGGAAGTCCCTGGCTTTGGAATCGTGGTCGCCTTTTGTGAAGGAAAAAAAATTTTTTTTTTAAATCTGTTTTTGTAAGGTTTTGGAGCGAACATTTTCTTTCTTGGTTATTACATATTCCAGTTTAATTTGCCTCCAAGGATCCTGTTATCTTTAAAAGACTGACTATTTCTTCATGTTGGCAAGAACTAAGTCTGTAGAATCAGATAGATCATCTCTGGAGAGTTTGACCCAGCCATCACTGATAGGTAATTGAACTCCTCTTGGAGGAAAGGAACAAAAAACCCAGGAAACTGAAGTGTTTTCATTCTTCTACAAGAAACTTTCTATGAGTAAGCATAGGATATACAGGAAAAGGCTTGGTCTTTTCACAAGAGGAAGAATGTGGAAGGAGAACTTTTCCCAGTCTTGAGCTCAGTTTGATGCAGACATAAAAACCACCCCCCCAAACCAGTTGCCATTCTTTCTGATTCATGCATGTCAGAGTATAACTGTGCTCCATAATGTTTTCAATGACTGTTGCTTTTGGAAGTAGAGCACCAGATTTTTCTTCCAATAAGCCTTTGGACGGTTTCAAATCTTCAACCTTTTGTTAGTAGCTAGGCTTGTTAGCTATTTGTACCATACAGGGACTCTTGATGTAGATAGTCATTAAAAATATGATAGGACCTGGTGGGACATTGAACTTTTGGGAAATTGTGCCTGAGGCTCTGAAACTATATTCTGAGACTCATGGTGGCTTTGAGTCACTCACATTTGTTGTCTTTCTGAAAAAAACACAAAAGTTTGAAAAAAAGAGAAAAAACACTTTGCAAACATTAGATGCATGGAGGGGATTGTAAAAAGAGATCATATTCCCCTTGATTCCTGTGAAGGAAATGTATTCCGATTTAGTAGCACTCCTGATGGGAATTAATGGCCAGTGGTGAGTCAGTGATGGAATTGTCGTCTTTCATACAGACCCAGTTCGTTTTCCAGCCAATACACTTCACACAGAGTCATCACATGTATGTTAGTTAAAGGGTTCGTGTAACTATGATGCTGAACAGATTTTCAGACTAAGATTAACTAGGAAGAAAGGCCTGGTGATCTACTTCTGAAAATCAATCCGTGAAATCCTTTGGATCACAATGATCTGATTTGAAGCCAGGCATGAGGATGCGTGAGGTTTGTTCCATTGTGCATAGAGTCACCAGGAATCAGGGGCTGACTCAACAGCATCCAACAACATCTAACAGGGATTAGAAATTTTTTCTGGGAGAAAGGACAAGGAGTAAGTTGATAATTTTACACTTCCTTTATTTATCTCTGGATAAGTTCAAACTTCTTTGAAAATGGATAACGTTTATGGAATTTTGGAGCTGGAAAGCATCCCCCCTACTTTTTTTTTTTTTTAATTTGTGAATTAGGTGAAAATTTATAGCATAGATCAATTTCCCATTCAACAATTTACACACTGTTCATTTCATCTCACTGACTGCAATCCTCACAATGAAATATCTCTTATCTCACTTCCTCTCTGGGTTTCCTTTCTATTCCTTCTTCTTTCCAATACTTTCTGAACTTTGTCCTTGGGTAAATGCTGCCCTTTTGATCTCAAATGGTGGACTATTTGAAGGTGTGGCATCAGGATTGGAGGAAGACTCATTTACAACCTGCTATATGCAGATGATACAACCTTGCTTGATGAAAGTGAAGAGGACTTAAAACATTTCCTGATGAAGATCAAAGAGCACAGCCTTTGGTATGGATTACATCTCAATGTAAAGAAAATAAAAATCCTCACCACTGGACCAATAAACAACAACATTCTTATGAACGGAAAAAAGATTGAAGTTGTCATTCTTCTTGGATCAACTATCAACACTTATGGAATCAGCAGTCAAGAAATCAAATGATGTATTGCATTAGGCAAATCTGCTGCACAAGACCTTTTCAAAGTGTTGAAGAGCAAAGATGTCA